CCCCTCCTCCCCCTCCCCCCTCTTCCCCCTCTTCCCCCTCCCCCTCCTCCCCCTCCTCCCCCTCCTCCTCCTCCCCCTCCTCCCCCTCCTCCTCCCCCCCTCCCCCATTCTCCTCCTCCCCCTCCTCCCCCTCCTCCCCCTCCTCCCCCTCCTCCTCCTCCCCCTCCTCCCCCTCCTCCTCCCCCCCCTCCCCCATTCTCCTCCTCCCTCCTCCCCTCCTCCCCTCCTCCTCCTCCCCCTCCTCCCCCTCCTCCTCCCCCCCTCCCCCTCCTCCTCCTCCTCTCCCTCCTCCTCCTCCTCCTCTCCCTCCTCCTCCTCCTCCTCCCCCTCCTCCCCCTCCTCCCCCTCCTCCTCCTCCCCCTCCTCCCCCTCCTCCCCCTCCTCCTCCTCCCCCTCCTCCCCCTCCTCCTCCTCCCCCTCCTCCCCCTCCTCCCCTCCTCCTCCTCCCCCCCTCCTCCCCCTCATCCTCCCCCTCCCCCTCCTCCCCCTCCTCCCCCTCCTCCCCCTCCTCCTCCTCCCCCTCCTCCCCCCCCTCCTCCCCCTCCTCCCCCTCCTCCTCCCCCTCCCCCCTCTTCCCCCTCCTCCCCCTCCTCCTCCCCCTCCCCCTCTTCCCCCTCCTCCCCCCCCTCCCCCTCCTCCCCCTCCTCCCCCTCCTCCTCCCCCTCCTCCTCCTCCCCCTCCTCCCCCTTCTATCCGAAGCGCTCCACGGACGAGCACAAGTCTCCCCGACTCCTCCGTCCGCTACGGGGCGCTGGGAGGTGTTGGCTTCTCAGCGGCGCATTGCGGCTTGCGGGTCCGCGAATGCTTGCAGGAGGTGTCCACGTGGAACCAGGGGTCACGGTGGGGTCACCAGGTGTGTCACCCACCATTCCCGCCCGAGTGGTGACAGCTTCCTGGGGCGGCACAGGGCGGGAGATCCGATGTCCGCGGCGCTTTCTCGGGTGCGATTTTAAGCCCACCCCCCCCCAAAGACAAAGACAAAGATCCCCCGTGTAGCCTGCAACAGACTGTTGGGGCAAGTGCTGTGAGCGAGTAGCAACCTATTAAGGCCGGCACGGCACACGAGCGGGGTGGGTGTCCAGCACCATGCCCGGCCACCTTTGTCTCCCCAGTAGCGATGTTTACACAACCGCACCAAGTACTCATTTGAGGCCGAGTCGACCTAGGGGAGGCCCAGGACCAGTTCAGATAATCGTCACTGGTGTTGGTCGTGAGCGGGAATCGAACTCGGGTCGCCGGGTTCGCAGCGCAGCCAACACACACACGCGCGCGCGTACACCAAGGACTTACAGAGGCTTGGCACGCCGGGGGCATCCCCCAGATCCCAGGAGAGAGAGCGCTGCTCTTTAGCAGCAGGAACGGCTGCTTTGTTGGTCTGCGGGCGCGCCGCGATGACTAGATGTTAAATCCCTCGTCTGCTATACAGGAGGTCGTGGGTTCAATCCCGACTCTGACGCCTGCTGTTGTATATTTGGAGTTTGCGGCCTCTCTCTCATCGTCATCACGGTAGGAGATGTTAACTCCCTCGCTTCGTATGCAAGAGGTCCGTTGGTTCGATCCCGACCCTGACTCCTGCTGCTGTATATTTGGAGTTTTCGGTGTCTCTCTCTCTCCTGGTGGTCGCGTGGATTTTTCTCCGGGTCCTCCGGTTTTTCCCCTCCGATTTCAAAATCCAACGTCACGCGTTTAGAGTATTCGTCTGCTCGAAATGTCCACACCACGAGCCTCTTCGCTGAGCTCTCATTTGTGATTGCCAGGGTCTCTTCTGAAAGAGAGCCACATGGCTCAGTGGGGCCTTATCTATTAAACTATTTTAGACAAAGATTCTGCTCTACGGGGAATATTTGTTTTATGTATGTACGTGTGTGCAAGTGTGTGTGTGTGTGTGCACGTGTGTGTGTGCACGTGTGTGTGTGTGCACGTGTGTGTGCACGTGTGTGTGTGCACGTGTGTGTGTGTGCACGTGTGTGTGTGCACGTGTGTGTGTGTGCACGTGTGTGTGCGTGTGTGTGCACGTGTGTGTGTGCACGTGTGTGTGTGCACGTGTGTGCGTGTGTGTGCACGTGTGTGTGTGCACGTAGCCTGGCGCAAGCTCCGTGGTGACGTCACCGCCACTTAGTGGCGAATGGCGGCGGTTGTTGTTGTTGATGTTGTTGTTGATGTTGTTGTTGATGTTGTTGATGTGTGTGCGTGCGCGCAGAGACAGTCGGAATCCATCGCATGGGTGAGACAAAGCGACCGGAGCGGATCCTCTAACAACACCAATCACACACGCAACAAAGACAAAGATCCCCTGTAAAGCCTTGACACACTGTTCGGGAAAGTGCTGTTAGCGAGGACCTATGAAGGCCAGAACGCCACACGAGGGGGTGGGTGGCCAGAACCACGCCCGACCGCCTTTGTCTCTCTAGGGGTGATGCTTACACAGCGCACTAATACTCATTTGAGGCTGAGTCGAGCTAGGGGAGGCCCAGGACCGGTTCAGATAATCCCTTTCACTGGTGTTGTTCGTGAGCGGGAATAGAACTCGGGTCGCCAGGTTTGTAGCACAGCGTGCTAACCGTTACACCACCGCACACACACAGCACGCACACACACAACACGCACACACCCAACACACACACAACACACACACAACACACACACAACACAAACACGCACAACACGCACACAACACAAACACACACAAAACGCACACAACACAAACACACAACACAAACACACACAACACGCAACACAAACACACACAACACGCACACACAACAATACCATTCTCACGACGTTTCTACTGCAACACAAGCAATCATCATCAGGTGTGAAATCCACACCTGATGATGATTGTTTAATATTTTTATTATTTTATTATTTCCCTTCTACGTGACTTCACCGAAAGAACCAAGAAGATGAATCTGGTGGCACTTGATTGACAGGTGCCGTTGCCGCGGTCTGTCGAGAATGTGCTCTGGAGATGAACCGTGATGGTGGAACCACGTGGGGCGACGCGCACGCTCATCCACGACGTAAGATAAACGTTGTGGACGATGCCCTTCGAAGATAAATGGAAACGTTTCGGATTGAAGGGCCCCCTTTAAATAAAAAAAGAAAGCGAATCAATGGAATGTGTCCGAAAACCTTTATTGCCGTGACCTTCGTTATTTCCAAAAGTTTGCGAATAAAACTTCTGGATAGGTATTTTGTACAGCTGTGGTTGTATCTGGATTTGAAGCTTTCGTGACTGCAGGAATCCATACTCTTCGGTTCCTTCGGTAAAGAAATAACTGCGCGACTTTACCGAAAGAACCAAAGATTATAGTTGTGGTTTTGTTTAACAATCCGAGGTGGCACGTGTCGCGTGTGATTGCATCAACGGCGAGGCAAGTAACAGCGACGACGCGAAGTGGTTTGCACAGAACGGATCATTTGTTTGATCTGTCCCTGCCTTGTCTGGGTGTGGAGCGGTGGCGTAGTGGTTAGCGCACTGCACTGAGGTGACAACAATCATTATCACTGACATTTATACTGGTAGGAACCTCCTGGTTACACCAGCCCACAGGGGATTATTGTGTCCGTCGTGCAGGGAGGGGCTGGGTGAAGAGGGAGGGGCTGGGTGGGGAGGGGAGGGTGGGGAGGGGCTGGGTGGGGAGGGTGGGGAGGGGCTGGGTGGGGAGGGTTCGGGCTGGGTGGATGGTGGGAGGGGTGGGGCTGGGTGGGGAGGGGCTGGTCACCCCGTGGTGCCCTTAAACAATAATCCCATGTGGGCTGGTGTAACCAGGAGGTTCCTACCAGTAAAATGGTCTTGTAGTTTACTACTTGTCACAGCAATCGGAGTGTGTTGTTGTTGTTATTGTTGTCGTTTAAGTGGTCGGGCGCGGTGCGTTGCACGGTGCGCGTGTTTTATACTTTGTCCCAGAGACGCAAACCTGTAAACCCACACGGTTTTTACCCCGTGCTCTTTTACGGGGAAATTTTAGTTTTCAGGTCCATACGGCCCACAGCCGTTTCGATACGAGCAAAACAAATTATTGTCTATTTGTTTGTGACCATCAAGGTCTGAATTGGTCTGTAATGAGGTTGGCACTGATAAGGAGTTGACAGGTATGGTAGTAGTAGTTGCATTATAGTGGTGGTGGTGGTAGAAGTTGTGTTATAGTGGTAGTGGTGGTAGTAGTAGTGTTATAGTGGTAGTGGTGGTGGTAGTGTTATAGTGGTAGTGGTGGTAGTAGTGTTATAGTGGTAGTGGTGGTAGTAGTAGTGTTATAGTGGTAGTGGTGGTGGTAGTAGTGTTATAGTGGCGGTGGTAGTTGTGGTATAGTGGTGGTAGTAGTGGTAGTATTAGTTGTATTATAGTAGTGGTGGTAGTAGTACATACGTGTCAACCCACACAGCTTACGCCGTATTCTTGTACAGAGAAATTGAGTTGTCATGTTCATACGGCGCGTACAGCCGTTTCGATACGGGCAAAATAAACACGTGTTTTTGTCTTTGTGTTTTTCCCTTGTGATGGGGCTTTGTAGGGTGCGTGCGTGCATGCGTGTCCCCTCGTGCGTGAGCCATCAGTCACGCCGCGGACGCAAAGAACAGCCACCCCGGTGGAAATTCCACGTTACTATGACGGCAACCACAAGGCCGTTAATGCAAGCGCGCACTTCGATTTACGCCCTCCTATCATATCGGGGGCGCGTCCACACCAGGTGGTACCTATTTTACGGACCCCGGAGGCGTGATGATGATTGATGATTGGGTTGAGTTGACTTCTGCATGGAATTTTAACTCAGCCGGTATGACTCAAAAGCCTTAACTTACGATATACAGGGCTATCGGATTTTTTTTGTCTTTCGAATAATCCACTGCTGGATGACAGCATCTTCACCCCGTTTCGATTACGTGGGTTGTTTGACCTTACTTCACCACGCTGGTCAGTGCGGGTTGATGCCTGGTGTCACACCAGGACAATGGAGCGCAGTGCGCCAACCACCGCGCCACCGCTCCCCACGCTATAGTGAATTAGACTGGACGTAGTATGCGTGCGGTGTTGTATGCACGTGCAGCGGAAGGCAACATGCATCGTTAGGATAAGGTTCATAAATATGGGCAAATAATACTGTCTGTCTTTGTGTGTTTGTGTGTGTGTTTGTGTGTTTTGGTGTGTTCTAATGTGTGTTCGTGTGTGTGTTGTGTGTGTTCGTGTGTGTTTGTGTGTGTTTGTGTGTTTGTGTGTGTTTGTGTGTGTTTGTGTGTGTGTTTGTGTGTTTGTGTGTGTTTATGTGCGTGGTTGTGTGTTTGTGTGTGCTTGTGTGTGTTCGTGTGTTCGTGTGTGCGTGTGTGTTTGTGTGTTTGTGTGTTCGTGTGTTCGTGTGTTTGTGTGTGTTTGTGTGTGTTCGTGTTTGTGTGTTTGTGTTTGTGTGTTTGTGTGTGTTCGTGTGTTTGTGTGTTTGTGTGTGTTTGTGTGTGTTCGTGTGTTCGTGTGTGTTCGTGTGTGTTCGTGTGTGGTTGTGTGTTCGTGTGTGTTCGTGTGTGTTCGTGTGTGGTTGTGTGTTCGTGTGTGTTCGTGTGTGTTCGTGTGTGGTTGTGTCTTTGTGTTTGTGTGTGTTTGTGTGTTGGTGTGTGTTTGTGTTCGTGTGTGTTTGTGTGTGTTCGTGTGTGTGTGCTCACGGAGTGGTAGTGTAGCGGTTAGCGCGCTGCGCTACGAACCCGGCGACCCGAGTTCGATTCCCACTCACGGCCAACACCGGACCGGTACCTGGGCCTCCCCTAGGTCGACTCAGCCTCAAATGAGTACCTGATGCGGTGCGTAAACATCGCCACTAGGGAGACAAAGGCGGCCGGGCGTGGTGGTGGCCACCCAACCCTTCGTGTGCCGTTCCAGCCTTCATGGGTGCTACTCGCTAACAGCACTTGCCCCTGTTCGTCAAATCAAGTCAAGTTTATTTTTTTGTTCCCGAACACAAATCTGACACTCAAAGCGCCGTCGTCACATGAATAATAATACTCATTATAAAATTAGAAAATTATATACAATGATATAAAATATACATGCTATCTATAGCTGTTTAAACATATACAACTGTAAAGAGAATGTGACTTGAGTGTAGTGAAGAAGTCGACTTTGCGTATTGCTGTTGAGGCTACACGGGTGATCTTTGTCTTTGTTACGTGTGGCTGTGCACACGAGCGTGTAACCAAGACACCCTCATGCCACGGGTGCAGTCGAGTGGTGGTTGTCGTGATGGTGGTTGTGGTGGTTGTGGTTGTGGTGGTTGTTGTGATTGTGGTGGTGGTTGTTGCAGTGGTTGTGGTGGTGATTGCTGGTGGTTGTGATTGTGGTTGTTATGATTGTGGTGGCTGTAGTTGTGGTGGTGGTTGTGGTGATGGTTGTGGTGATGGTTGTTGCGGTGGTTGTAGTGGTGGTAGTTGTGGTGGTTGTAGTGGTGGTTGTAATGGTGGTGGTTGTAGTGGTTGTGGTGGTTGTAGTGGTTGTAGTGATGGTTGTGGTGGTTGTAGTGATGGTTGTGGTGGTTGTGATGGTTGTAGTGGTGGTTGTGGTGGTGGTTGTGGTGGTTGTAGTGGTGGTTGTGGTGGTTGTAGTGGTGGTGGTGGTTGTGGTGGTGGTGGTCGTTGTCAGCCACTCGTGCTGGTGCTGGTTTTCGTGCAGGCAGCGCTGCACCACCACCACCGCTCTCTCTCTCTCTCTCTGACTTTCTGTCACCGCGTTGCGGGTGTTGTGTTGTGTGTGTTGCGTGCATGTTGTGTGCGCGTGCTGTGCATGTGTTTTGTGTGTGTGTTGTGTGTGTTGTGTGCGTGTGTTATGTGTGTGTTGTGTGCGTGTGTTATGTGTGTGTTGTGTGCGTGTTGTGTGTGTGTTGTGTGTGTGTTGTGTGTGTGTTGTGCGTGTGTTGTGTGCGTGTTGTGTGTGTTTTGTGTGTTGTGTTTGTGTTGTGTGCATGTTGTGCGTGTTGTGTGTGTTGTGTGTGTGTGTGTTGTGTGCATGTTGTGCGTGTTGTGTGTGTGTTGTGTGCATGTTGTGTGTGTGTTGTGTGTGTGTTGTGTGTGTGTTGTGCGTGTGTTGTGTGCGTGTTGTGTGTGTTTTGTGTGTTGTGTGTGTGTTGTGTGCATGTTGTGCGTGTTGTGTGTGTTGTGTGTGTGTGTTGTGTGCATGTTGTGCGTGTTGTGTGTGTGTTGTGTGCATGTTGTGTGTGTGTTGTGTGTGTGTTGTGCGTGTGTTGTGTGCGTGTTGTGTGTGTTTTGTGTGTTGTGTGCGTGTTGTGTGCATGTTGTGCGTGTTGTGTGTGTTTGTGTGTGTGTGTTGTGTGCATGGTGTGTGTGTTGTGTGCGTGTTGTGTGTGTTGTGTGTGTTGTGTGTGTCTTGTGTGTGTGTATTGTGTGTGTGTGCTGTGTGTGTGTTGTGTGCATGTTGTGTGTGTGTGTTGTGTGTGTTGTGTGTGTTGTGTGCATGTTGTGTGTGTTGTGTGTGTGTTGTGTGTGTGTTGTGTGCATGTTGTGTGTGTTGTGTGCATGCTGTGTGCGTGTTGTGTGTGTGTTGTGTGTGTTGTGTGTGTGTTGTGCGTGTGTTGTGTGCGTGTTGTGTGTGTTTGTGTGTTGTGTGTGTGTTGTGTGCATGTTGTGCGTGTTGTGTGTGTTGTGTGTGTGTTGTGTGCATGTTGTGCGTGTTGTGTGTGTGTTGTGTGTGTGTTGTGCGTGTGTTGTGTGCGTGTTGTGTGTGTTTTGTGTGTTGTGTGTGTGTTGTGTGCATGTTGTGCGTGTTGTGTGTGTTGTGTGTGTGTGTTGTGTGCATGTTGTGTGTGTGTTGTGTGCATGTGTGTGTGTGTTGTGTGTGTGTTGTGTGTGTGTTGTGCGTGTGTTGTGTGCGTGTTGTGTGTGTTTTGTGTGTTGTGTGCGTGTTGTGTGCATGTTGTGCGTGTTGTGTGTGTTGTGTGTGTGTGTTGTGTGCATGGTGTGTGTGTTGTGTGCGTGTTGTGTGTGTTGTGTGTGTTGTGTGTGTCTTGTGTGTGTGTATTGTGTGTGTGTGCTGTGTGTGTGTTGTGTGCATGTTGTGTGTGTGTGTGTTGTGTGTGTTGTGTGTGTTGTGTGCATGTTGTGTGTGTTGTGTGTGTGTTGTGTGTGTGTTGTGTGCATGTTGTGTGTGTTGTGTGCATGTTGTGCGTGTGTTGTGTGTGTGTTGTGTGTGTATGTTGTGTGCATGTTGTGTGTGTTGTGTGTGTGTTGTGTGTGTATGTTGTGTGCATGTTGTGCGTGTGTTGTGTGTGTGTTGTGTGTGTATGTTGTGTGCATGTTGTGCGTGTGTTGTGTGTGTATGTTGTGTGCATGTTGTGTGTGTTGTGTGTGTGTTGTGTGTGCGTGTTGTGTGTGTGTTGTGTGCATGTTGTGTGTGTTGTGTGTGTGTGTTGTGTGTGTGTTGTGTGTGTGTTGTGTGCATGTTGTGTGTGTTGTGTGTGTTGTGTGTGTGTTGTGTGTATGTTGTGTGCATGTTGTGTGTGTTGTGTGTGTGTTGTGTGTGCGTGTGTGATTGTTGTTGATGTTACAGGAGCCGCTCCGGTCGCTTGGTCTCATCCTTGCGATGGATTCCGACTGCCTCTGTGCACACAGAAAGACACACACACACAATATACACAATGTATACACAACACACACACAATACACACACAATACACACAATGTATACACAACACACACAATACACACACAATACACACACAACACACACACGACACATACACACTATGTATACACAACACACACAATGCACACAATAAATATACACACTATACACAATACACACAATACACGCACACACAACACACACAACACACCACACACAATATATACACAATACACACATGATCGATACACAATACACACAATACACACACAATGTATACACACCATACACACACACAATATATACACACAATACACACGTACAGACTCCTCAACAATGCAAGCATACAACAAAGATCCCCCGTGTAGCCTTAACAGACTGTTGGGACAAGTGCTGTTAGCGAGCACCTATAAAGACGGCGCACGAGGGGGTGGGTTACCAGCACCACGCCCTGACCGCCTTTGTCTCCCCAGTTGCGATGTTTACACACCGCACTAGGTACTCATTTTGAGGCTGAGTCGACCTAGGGGAGGCCCGGGACCGGTTCAGATGCTCGTCACCGGTGTTGGCCGTGAGCGGAAATCAAACTCGGGTCGCCGGTTTCATCGCGCAGCGCGCTAACCGTGTGCGTGTCTGTGTGTGTGTGGTTGTGTGTGTGTCTGTGTGCGTGTCTGTGTGTGTGTGGTTGTGTGTGTGGTTGTGTGTGTGTGTGTGGTTGTGTGTGTGGACAGTGTGTGTGTGTCTGTGTGTGTGTCTGTGTGTGTGTCTGTGTGTGTGTGGTTGTGTGTGTGTCTGTGGTGGTGTGTGTGTGTCTGTGTGTGTGGTTGTGTGTGTGTGGTTGTGTGTGTGTCTGTGTGTGTGTCTGTGTGGTTATGTGTGTGCGTGTGTCTGTGTGTGTCTGTGTGTGGTTGTGTGTATGTGTGTGTGTCTGTGTGCGTGTCTGTGTGTCTGTGTGTGGTGGTGTGTGTGTCTGTGTGTGGTGGTGTGTGTGTCTGTGTGCGTGTCTGTGTGTCTGTGTGTGGTGGTGTGTCTGTCTGTGTGTGTGTGGTTGTGTGTGTCTGTGTGTGTGGTTGTGTGTGTGTGTGTGTCTGTGTGTGTGGTTGTGTGTGGTTGTGTGTGTGTGTGTGTGGTTGTGTGTGTGTCTGTGTGCGTGTCTGTGTGTGTGTCTGTGTGTGGTGGTGTGTCTGTCTGTGTGTGTGTGGTTGTGTGTGTCTGTGTATGTGGTTGTGTGTGTGTGTCTGTGTGTGTGTGGTTGTGTGTGTCTCTGTGTGTGGTTGTGTGTGTGGTTGTGTGTGTGTGTGTGGTTGTGTGTGTGTCTGTGTGCGTGTCTGTGTGTGTGTCTGTGTGTGGTGGTGTGTCTGTCTGTGTGTGTGTGGTTGTGTGTGTCTGTGTGTGTGGTTGTGTGTGTCTGTGTGTGTGTGGTTGTGTGTGTCTCTGTGTGTGGTTGTGTGTGTGTGTGGGTCTGTGTGTGTGTCTGTGTGTGTGGTTGTGTGTGTGTCTGTGGGGAGCGGTAGTGTAGCGGTTAGCGTGCTGCGCTATGAACCCGGCGACCCGAGTTCGATTCCCGCTCACGGCCAACACCAGTGGCGATTATCTGAACCGGTCCTGGGCCTCCCCTAGGTCGACTCAGCCTCAAATGAGTACCTGGTGCGGTGTGTAAACATCACCACTAGGGAGACAAAGGCGGTCGGGCGTGGTGCTGGCCACCCACCCCCTCGTGTACCGTTGCGGCCTTCATAGGTGCTCGCTAACAGCACTTGCCCCTACAGTCTGTTAAGGCTATATGGGGGATCTTTATCTGTGTGTGTGTGGTTGTGTGTCTGTGTGTGGGGAGCGGTGGTGTCGCGGTTAGCGCTGTTACAGGTGCTCGCTCACAGCACTCGTCCCCGACAGCCCTGTCTGTATCATAGCGAGTCGGTAGGCGATGGGGGGGTGGGATAGGGGCGGTGTTGTTGTCTGCAGGGGTAGGCTGTGTGTGTGTCTGTGTGTTTGTGTGTAGGCTTTTGTGATCGGGTGCTCCGAAATTGCAAGTTCACGGGGTATGGACGGGTAACGATGTGTTTGTTCTCTCCACACTAGCGAGTAGCACCTATGAAGGCCGGCACGGCACACGAGGGGGGTTGGGTGGACAGCACCACGCCCGGCCGCCTTTGTCTCCAGAGTGGCGATGTTTTTTACACAACTTCTACACCAGGGACCTAGGGAAGAGGCCAGCACCGGTTCAGAGAAATCGTCACCGGTGTTGGCCGTGAGCGGGAATCGAACCCTGGAGGTTCTTCAGGGTTCCTAGCGCGGCGTAGCACGGACTGCTACCACCGTCACGCACACACACACACAGTACTATACACACGCCTGTGTGTGCGTGTGTGTGTGTGCTGTATAGGGGGCACAGGTGGCGTGCATCTGGCCACTCATCTCAGTCAGTCGAGAGCCGTGGCACCTGCTGGGTCTCTCCCGTGACCTCCTGCCGGCCGGGCGTTCGACCTCTTCACGTGGCCTCAACGTGCACGTGGCCTGGCACAAGCGCCGTGTTGTTGTTGTTGTTGTCGTATTTCAAGCGTGTGCGGTGCTGCTGCTGCACACACGCATAAGGTCGACTGATGGGCACTGGCGGTAGAGGCGAGCCGCAGCCTTTAACCGCACAACCATCAAACTGCCCAAGCGAGTGTCTCTCCTCAACCCCTGTGCGCCTTCGTGTCTGCGAATTTCAAGATAAAACCTCATGCCCCCCCCTCCTCCTCCCACAATTGCGCCTTTTGAAAGTGGCATCTGTCTCGCGCGGTTGGTTCCACGCAACCGCAGCAAAGTCGGGAGTGAGCGTGTGCGTGTGTGGGTGCGTGTGGGTGCGTGTGTGTGTGTGCGTGTGAGCCTGCGTGTGTGTGTGGGTGCCTGTGTGTGTCCGTGTGTGCGTGTGTGTGTGCGTGTGGGTGCCTGTGTGTGTGTGCGTGTGAGCCTGCGTGTGTGTGTGTGGGTGCCTGTGTGTGTGAGCCTGCGTGTGGGAGCTTGCATGTGTGTGTGGGTGTCTGTGTGTGTGTACATGCGTGTGTGTGTGCCTGCGTGTGGGAGCCTGCATGTGTGTGTGTACGTGCATGTGCCTGTGTGTGTGTGTGGGAGCCTGCATGTGTGTGTGTGTGCGTGCGTGTGAGTGCCTGTGTGTGTGTGCGTGTGAGCCTGCGTGTGTGTGCGCCTGCCTGTGTGTGTGCGTGTGTGTGCGCCTGCCTGTGTGTGTGTGTGCGCGTGCGTGTGGGTGCCTGTGTGTGTGCTTGCGTGTGTGTGTGCGCGTGTGTGCTTGCGTGTGTGTGTCTGTGCGTGCGTGCCTGCCTGTGCGTGTGCCTGTGTATGTGCGTGTGTGTCTGTGCGTGTGGGAGCCTGTGTGTGTGTGTGTGTGCCTGCCTGTGCGTGTGCCTGTGTATGTGTGTGCGTGTGTGTGTCTGTGCGTGTGGGAGCCTGTGTGTGTGTGCCTGCCTGTGTGTGCCTGCTTGTGTGTGTGTGCCTGTGTGTGTGCGTGTGTGTGTCTGTGCGTGTGGGAGCCTGTGTGTGTGTGTGTCTGTGTGTGTGTGTGCCTGTGTGTGTGTGTGTGTGCGTGTCTCACGGCCATTTGACGCGCAGAGCTTTCCACGCAGCATGATTCATTGATTTTTTTTGCCACGAGCTTGAGTGCGAATCACCAAGAAAGCATCCACACGTAGCACACACATAACATGCATGACACACACAACACAACATACACACAACGCGCACATAACATGCATAACACACAACACAACATACACACAATTGACACAACACACAACGCACACAGCACACAACGACACCACACACACAACAATAGCACACACACAGCAAACCCTAAGAAGGCCGGCACGGCACACGAGGGGGTGGGTGGCCAACACCACGCCCGGCCTCCTTTGTCTCCCCAGTGGCGATGTTAACTACACACCGCACCAGGTACTTACTTGAGTCTGAGTCGACCTAGGGGAGGGCCAGGACCGGTTCAGATAGCGCAGCGCGCTAATCGCTACACTACCGGACACACACACATCTACACACACACACAGCTGCACACACACACATCTACACACACACAACAATAGCACACACACACACAGCTGCACACACACACACACATCTACACACACACAACAATAGCACACACACACACCACACACGCGTAACAACACACAATACCACAACAACAACCGCCATTCGCCAATACGTGGCGGTGACGTCCCCAAGGCGCTTGTACCAGGCTACGTACACTTAAAGGCCACGCCATACCACGCACATAATACTACACACAAAACCACACATTTCACACAAACGACACCGCACACCACGCTATACAACACAGCACACGCGTAACAATAGCGCGCAATGGCACACACATAACGAATCTACACACAATACCGATACACACACACGCACACACGACAGCACACACACACAGTCGCACGGCAGATCAATGTGCCCTTAGCGTTAACCCGGCTGTCGTCAATGTATTGCTGTGTGCGTGTGATGCTCGCTAACAGCACTTGCCCCTACGGTCCGTTCAGGCTATACGGGGGATCTTTTTCTCTGTGTGTGCTGGTGAAGGACGCTGCTGCTGCTACTGAGCACTTGGAGGCTGTCGCTCACAACAACAAGGCGCTGAGCGCCGGGCGGATAAAACGCAGCAAAAGTTGGCGCAGGTGGTGAACATCAGGCAGTCATCTCGAGTCAGTCGACCCGCGGCGCCTGCTGGGTCTGCCCCGTGACCGTCGTCGTCATAGCCAGCACAGCACAGCAGCAGAGAAATCACCACAGGCCACGATGATGATGATGACGACGATGATGATCACAATGACGATGATGACGCAGGTGACGTCAGTGTACAACAAATCTGTAAAATGATGGAGTGACGTGGGGCGCGCGAGGAGGAGCAGGGAACGCCACTCATGCACACACACAGACACACAGACACACACGTGCACACACA